ACTGTTTCAATAAATCAATAAAAAGTAACTAACTGTTTCAGTAAAACAATTAAAAAGCAACTCACTGTTTCAGAAAAGGAATACAAAGCAACTAATTGTTTCAGTTCAACGATAAAAAGCAACTAACTCTTTCAGTAAAACAATAAAAAGCAACTAACTGTTTCAGTAAAACAATAAAAAGCAACTAACTGTTTCAGTAAAACTATAAAAAGCAACTTAGCATGTATCTTTCCAAAACAAATACCAAATAAATCTTTCTTAACGAACTAAACTGAATCCTAAAGTTATTCAAATTTAACGAACTTAATCCATGCAGCAAACAATTCGAATAATGAATTTGACGTCATAATCGGAAACGAAGTAAAACCACAAGCTGATCACTTTTCAATTCTTGATGAGATTTGGAGCAAAATGTAACCCAATTCAAACACGAATTGCAATTAAACGCGTCTAGAATTTTCCTTAAATCCTACATTAAAGCACTTTCACTTTTATCAATAGCTTCATTTAGTTTCAATGTGTATTGATATATGGTTTCGTTATACTTAAAAGGAATTTTTAATGAAGGTAATACAACTTTGATCAGATCGAAGAGTGCAGTTCTGATTGCCTTTGTTTGGACGTAAGTAAGATTGTTCGGGCTAGTAATGAAGTGGTTTACTATACGGCGTTCATATAATGATCAATTTAAAATAAGCCTGAATTAATTTTCCGATGTATAAAGAATTAAAGAATATTTTTGTTTAACTTATTTAAGGTCATATTTTTAATTTGTTATATTAAAGTTTATTATATATATATATATACAGTCAAACCCCGCTATAGTGAACATGGTTTATAGTGAACTCTCGGATATAGTGAACGAAATGTTAGGTCCCGTGCCTTACTATACACATATAATATTATTTTTTGTGNCTGCATACCAGTAATATAGTTACACTGAAATTCTGGAAATAAATTTTTGTTTCAAAAGGCTCAGTAATAGGCATTTATGAAAAGAAACAGTTCAATATGTAATTATGAAAATAAACTAAAAATTTATTTAATTATTAAAATTTTTTAGTACAAATTTGTTTTTGCAAATAATGTTTTTTTTCGGTACTTTTAAATTGTAAAAACTTTATTCTGAAATTTGAGGGCTGTTTCCCTATTTTTACTTACACTTATGATCAAACCCTGACCTGCTCATCACAGGTCAGGGTGTGATCGACTCTGATGAAAAGATATAAGACAAGACATGCACAGTTTGAAGGGGTTGCAAAAGTATTATATATATTTCAGTAGTTTATTTTGAGCCCTGGCGGCTCAGGGGATAGAGCACTCACATCTCAATGAGGTGAACTATATATATATACATATATACAATTATATATATATAAACTCATGTTTGTGAAAATTGCAACACCATGAAAGACTTACGTGAATGAGCTGAAATTTTTAGGAAATGCAAAGTAGAGAATGATATGCACATGATTAGAATTTCAGACCCGTAGCGCATGCGTGTGCTGCGCAGCGCCCTCTGAACCTGCGGATGGATCCGAATAAATAGACGGCTGTAGCCAAGCGAGTATGGTTATCGGTGGTTATATGCTAGTGGTAAACGCTAGCTTAGTCATTACTTATGCCTATTCGACAAAAGAGAGCGAGATTTCAACAACTTACGGAGTTTAAACGGGGGAGAATCATCGGCATTCGTGAGGCTGGATCATCTTATCGTGCAGTAGCCGTTCGTGTGCAGCGTAACAGCAGCACAGTGATGCGTGTTTGAAAGCACTGGATGGACGAGTGTCGGACAACTCGGAAATCTGGGAGTGCACCCCGAAATGTCACGTCAGCTCGCGATGATAGACACCTGTTCGACGTTGCGCCAACGGACCGTTCGGCTCCCTCTAGACATCTGGCAGCACGGTGGTCAATAGCTACAGGTGTTTCATTGTGTGCTTTAACAATTCGTAGACGTCTGCTGCAGCGTGGACTGCGCACAAGGACTCCTTTATACAGGATCCCCCTCACGCTAAACCTTCGCCGCCTGCGGCTGAAATGGGCCAACCAGCATAGTGACTGGCTAGCTGATTGGTAGCGTGTCGTGTTTTCTGACGAATCTCGCTTCAATTTGCGGTACCAGGATGGCCGCATTCGTGTCAGACGCTATGCCGGCGAACGCCATCTTCCGGAGTGCGTTATCGAACGCCACAGTGGACGAACACCCGGAGTTACGGTCTGGGGTGCCATAGTATATCATGGACGATCTCAATTGCTACGAATTGTGCGTAATCTGAACAGCAATCGGTACATCAGTGAAGTTCTACAGCCCCAAGCTGTTCCCTTCCTTCAAGCCTTGCCAAGTGCTGTATTTCTACAGGAAAATGCCCACTCTCATATTGCTAGGACTGTTTAATCCTTCCTTGCATCGCGACAGCTTGGCTTAACCCCGACCCGTCCCATAGCGGGACATCCGGGAAATTCGTGAAGACTATCGTAGCTGCAAACCTCGAATCAATCGGAGGACCCAGTGGTGCATGGACACGTGGTTCCATGGCCCCGAGTCACGCCCGACGAGAGCAACACTGTCGTTCGACGGACAGAGGAGGCCGAAGGGACAAGCCCGAGACGGGTGCGGCGGTGCCATGTTCGGCTGCGAACGACTCACCAGGAGTGTTGCACCGAGAGACGATCGCCACGCCACGACCCATCGAGGCACCCTCTGACTGGAAGGCTCTGAAACCATTCTGAACTTTATTTAAAAATTTATCAAAAGGATGACTGACAACCTGTCGGTCTTACAAATAAATTGAATTAAAAATATGAATTACAATTGCAATACAAATACAAAATTGAGAGCACCCGGAAAGGGTGGAGGACGCCATAGTCAGCTCACAAAATTTGGGGAATGATCAATAAGAAATTCTTGTTCTCAATACTGCAATCGCTCTTTGGTTGGATGGACACGATCTTTGTCTTGCCGTGTGGTTAGNATATATATACTTAAGTTTATTATGCCACTACATACTTTTACTTTATACTGTATAATTAAATTCTAATTATATTTATTTACTACTGAACTTAAGATTAATAATTTTTGCTACTAGTCCATTTTAGAATGGCCATAAGAAACTGATGATCATAGTACCTACGTAATTATGTAAAATACCTCTTACTGTTGGATATAACAAAAAGAAGTCCCAATAATTACTTCTCAAACTTTTTTTAACTCTTCAACAACAGAAACATCCTTTTAGAAATGACACTGATTCTTTTTCTAATGCCTTTGCCATTCAAGAGTGGCGAATTTTAAAGTACAAAATATAACAAGTGGCGATTTTAATCATACCACTATCGGAACACCTACCAAAATATCATTAGTATCTGTTACCATAATTAATTAAGTCTCATTTGGTCAGTGGGGTCACTGGTAGTTAAGCTTTTTTTCTCGACCTCCTGGAGGAAAACAGCACTGAATTTTGATATAAAAATAGTTCAAAATATTCGAAAGAAATTCTGTGGTAAATTTAATATCAGAAATTAATTCGTTAATAGTAAAGTTGGCAAGTTTAATCAATAAGGTTAATTTTAAGTAAATTTAAAAGTTAATAATTTATATAATTTAGAATCTTATATTCGCACATTATTTATTAATATTATTAAGAGGCAATTTAATGAGATAGAAGATTAGGACGACGTTAGTATTATTTCTTTTTTTCTTTCTTTTTTTACCGTATCCTGGCAATCATTACCGAACACTGTACTAGTAAAGAAAAGGTTCTTACTAATGATCTTCGCTCCCAAAAGATCTAAGATTTTAGCAATTTTCTCTCGCTAAAAGATTTATCGATTGTTGTATATTAGTTTTCAAATCAAAAACAACATTTTATATTGGGAATTTCTAAAACCACTGAAATTATTATCACCGTAAAGCATTAATTAGCTAAAATATTAATATTACTAAACAAGAATGAAGTATAATACTGATTCGAAATCAAGAATCTGATGATATAGTTAACTAAAAGTAGAATTGTTACCTTAAGCTTAAATTGTGCCATCTCTGTATAACAGAAAGAAAATGATCTAAATCCATTCTAACTGTTGTCAGTGTCTTAATGAACAAAAAAGCTATATCATGGAATCGTTAAGTAAAAATGAATATCTTGAATCCCTTGGCTGTTACAACAGTTATTAGCAATCTTTTAATTGTGTTTTCTTTTTATTACAGAGAAATTTAATTTACATTAGTTGAAACTATCTTCAAATTTATATTTATTTTCTTTTTTTTCCAGCCTTTTTTATTGCATCTTTATTAAATAATAATCATGCCAATCTTTTCTTAAATATATTTTTGTCAAATTGCGAATAAAGCACAAATAATTAAACAAAAATGAACATATCATAGTTTTTGTTCTATCAAAAAATGGAAACACTATAGTACCGAAACTATAGTAAGTCCATTTCCATAACTTTATTTGGGCTGTAATCACGTCATTTAACTCAATGTTATTTTGCGTGTTCTATCCTCTTTTTGAATGTGATGTTAGCTTATTATGCAACATTTCATGCTCAGTATGTTGAGTTATTACTTTACATAGAGTTTAACGTTATGTTATAAACGTTAGTAGACGTTATAAACGTTAGTAAATCACGCAAAAGAAATTATATTGTTATTTGGCAAATCATATTTATTTTTAAAATATATTTGGTGCAAAACTGTGTTCAATCAACATTTATATTTAAAATATTTATCAAGAAATAGGCATTTAAAATGGTTAAAAAGTAAGAGGAATTAACTCTTCGGACTCTAGGTAAACAATTTCTTCTGCAAAAAACATTAAACATCATCTTGAAGATATAATTTCGTTGTCATACCAACGCCGAACTTGATTGTAATTGACCTAGTTAAGCTTTGGTTTAAATAGCTGGTCCAGATTTTACTCTAGTATTTCGAAAAAAAAGGTGGCATTGTGTTACATTTGTTTATTATTTATTATTCATTTATTTAAATTTTGAATAGTACCAAATGGGAAGAAAAAGAAGCATTTTCGCCATAGCGTGCATGCGTCTGTTTTTTTTAATCCATGTAAACTTTTCAGAAGCCACATTTGACGTAAATGAGAAGCAATTGCAAATGGTGGCTGACAGTTTATCCATGGATGAATGCCGCAAATTGTCCGAATCACTTCACCAGGATGGTTACGTAAGAGATCATATTCCATCCGGTAAGTAATTTTCAAACTTAGCTATGTATACCAAATTCTTAACGAAACTATAATGTATTACACTTTACTAATGTTTCTATACTCGGGCAGAATAATATTTTACAAAAATGTACACTTCATATTTTTCAGACATTTTTTGACGCCAAGAACGGCGCCAAAAAGTAACAGAAATTTTTTATGTTATTTTTTAAATTTTTTATAGAAGTGCCAAAACACTAAATTAAATCCTGAGGTGCTTTTCAGTTCGCCTAACGCAAATAAATTAGACAATTTTTTAAAATATTTTTTTTAATTTTATTTAAATTTTTTGTAAACACCGATTTTGTTTTGTGTTTAAAATTATATATAAAATTAAAAAAAAATAATAGTAGAGTTGCGCGTTTTTCGGCGAATTTTTGTTTGCGTCCGTCTAACTGAAAAGTACCAACACCAGGTTAATTTATCAACAAGAAAATAACATAAATAAACAAGTAAAAAATATTATCAACAATAAATGTTAACACTAATTAACTTTTATTGCTGCTAATTTATCAGCAGATAAACAAAAACATCGGTACAAAATATTTAGGCTTAATCCAAGTACACGTTACATGGTGAATTAGGCTATATTGGTGATTTTTGTGGTCGTATAAATTGAAATTTGTAGTTGAAAATTTGACGAGATTGAGTGGGTTATTGCATTTTTTCTCCATGTGTTTTTTTCTTCATGTTATGCTTATATATTTGGCATTTTCAGGTTACAGTTTTCTATTACTTTGTTTACACCAATTCTTGGCGATAGTCTTCATGAAGTCATTTCGACGTTGGCAGCAGTTTGGTGAGAATTTCAACACGCAATTTAGCCACCGTGGTGGCTCAGGGAATAGAGCGTTCGCCCTCAAATAAAGTGAACCGCGTTCAAATTCTAGCTATGGTTGGTCGATACGAATTTCGCAACCGGCTCATACTGACCATAGCATTGGAGTAAAATATCCTCAATGGTAGACGGATCATTTGTTAGAGTCCGCTAGCAGTCAGGCTAACCGTGGGAGGTTTTCGCAGTTTTCCTCACCATGTAACGTAAATGCGGGTTAGTTCCATCAAAAACTCCTCCATTAAGACAAATTTCTCTCAATCCAGGAGTTCCCTTGTCTTCTGGATTGGGTTCACAATTACGAGGTTACGGAGTTGAACATTAGTAATCATAAATCTAAAATTGGGTCTGCTGTTCAACGACGGTAATGAAATAAAATAAATCGAACCAAGCGTGAAACGTATACTAGGCATTAGTTAAAACTGAACTAAACTCAGTGGCACGACAACCCAAAGAGGGCTAAGGAATACTGTGCCCATCTCAGTTTTCTTGATCTTGGTCTCAGGGGTGCAGGAGCAGATGTTCAGGTTAGGTTGTCAGCCGAAAGCCAAACCCACAGTGCTTAGTTCCAAAGCATGCTTGGTACTCATTTATCGACCCACTGAAGGGATGAATGGCTGAGTCAACCTTGCCTAGCCCGAGGATCGAATCCAGACCTGTGTCACGAGAGAGCGAAGTGCTCCCGCTCAACCAATGGGCGTCAGGCAATAGTTAATAAAATTATAAATTAATTTTCAAAATTCATAACTTAAATCTTTTGTTCCTATCAAAATAATGTATATTTTCTTGGCAGTCTTCTCTGTAGAGACGCAAGTGAAGAAATAATGGTATAAGAATAGCGGTTTCTAAAATTTGAAAATAAACCAAGAACCTATCACATATTTATAAGCAAAAGTTGTGGTAACCCAAAGGTGACGTCAGTGTAAACAAAGAATCACATGGTAACCAGAAACGGGGTTTTATCGAAATTGTACGTTTGAAATTTATCGAAAAATCAAGAGGCCCCGATTCGACACCTTAACCTCGGTGGAAATAAAAAATAGCCAAACTATTATTGACATCAGTAACAATTAATTTTGGCAGTAGGTAACATGTTCATTTGTAACAGAGGTATCTAATTAAGTGATATACGTAATATGACACAGCTACATGATACAAGTACGGTGGTAACAGGTAACTGATATAGTTACGTGATATAGTTGTTATGGTGATAGATTTTCCAAGGCCATCCAGAAGGGAATAGTATCGTAAGTATTAATGAGCCACGCATTTTTTTGAACCACGGTGGCACAATGATTAAAGCACTGCCTTATCATTGTGAAGATCTTTCCTACGTAGCAGCTTGAAATCCAGTTGGATTCAGATCAATGGATACCAGCTTTTCTCAAAGTAAAAGTAGTCGGTGCGCAATGCTGGGCACACATCACGCGGTTGGTCTCAAAGTTGGGAAGATTTAACCTCCATATTTTCTCCGACCTACAAACTGGCTGTGTCGGACAGTATTTTTCATTTTTTAGAACTAACAACTCTAACTTTCTTCAACCACCACTAAAAAAAATCTAAAAATAAAACCTCGTATTATATTTATGGAAAAGGATTCGTCAAATAAATAAAAAATAATAACAAAAGTGAAAAATAGGACTTCGATATTTTTTTGATTTTTTTCTTCCTGGAATAACGAAATCTAATTTACTAAACTTTTTCCTACACAAAAAGGAAATAAATGAATGAAAAAAAAGGTATTGCACTATTTTAGTCCAGTTCCAACTTATGAAAAGAGGCGCAGATTCTTTTAATTGGAAGTCTGACTTGCGTCTGCCCGCTAGTTATAACTGAGCATAATGGTCTGTGGCTTTCTTCCACAGAGTAGCCCTACTAGGAAAACAAATCTCGATGTATTTTACCCAGACCACTCAGCGCTACTCCCTAATCGCAATATGGTGCTTTGAGAGGAGTTAGGGGGGTCACAAGGGGTCACAAAGATTTTCTAGTTTGAGTAATTGTTTGTCTGAAGATGCTCCGGATAACACTTTGAACAGATTGCAATTCCTCCGCGGTGATTTAAATAGAGATCTTCTAATATTCTGGACTTTTTACGAGTAAATAACCACCCGAAACTAGTCTCTAGTAATTTACTTTTTTGGCTGTCACTAGACATGGAGACATCCAACAGTATCAAAGTTGTAAATTGAAATAATTAGGGAAGAACTTGAAATTGTTCTAAGGTGTTTTGGATTTCTACTTGAGGTTCGGCATGTATTAAAGAAATGATTCTTTGCTGTTATTTTCAATTTACTGAAGAGGTCAAAAGGAGAAGGACTTATAAGTATTGAAATCTAGACAAGTAATGTATTGTTACCGATGTTTTTTCTTTTCTTTAATGAAACAAAAGAAACTAAAATCAAGACAAGAGATGGAATAATTTTTAAGTTTGGAGAGTTTTTGTTCTCCGTTAAACGTTATGAGTCAAATATTATATTCCTTATACATAGAACCTTTAATTTCTAAACAATGCTCTGTCAAGCCGTTTTTATCTTATACTATAATACGAGGAATGGTTGCCAAGTCGAAAATCGCCCCAGAATTAATAAACTCCGGTAAACTTGGGGGTCTGGGGTTTTTGGCCACGAGGAATCGATTGGCGCNTAAATATTGCTTTTGGAATTATTATGTTTTTATGTCGAGTTTGGATTCGAATACGATATAATAAAATAATATATTTTATATTATTTTATTCATATAACACGTAGGGTTGCCGTGAGTAGGGTCGCAAAATTTGGCAATTTTTGCGAATTTTGGCCTGGTTGCGATAATACGTAAGTACCTTTTTCAGTTCGCCTAACGCAAATAAATTAGACAATTTTTTAAATTATTTTTTTTATTTTATTTAAATTTTCTGTAAACACCGATTTTGTTCTGAGTTTAAAATTATATATAAAATGTAAAAAAAAAAAAATAATAATAGTAGAGTTGTGCGTTTTTCGGCGAATTTTCGTTTGCGTCCGTTTAACTGAAAAGTACCAATATCATGTTAATTTATCAACAGGTGAATAGCACAAATAAACGAGAAAAAATATTATCAACAATAAATGCTAACACTAATTAAAAATTTAACTTTTATTGCTGCTAATTTATCAACAGAATTTATAAACAAAAACATCGGTACAAAATATTTAGGCTTAATCCTTGTACACGTTACACAGTGAATTATTCTATATTGGTGATGTTTGTGGTCCTATAAATTGGAATTTGTCGTTGAAAATTTGACGAGATTGAGTGGACACAATTGCATTTTTTATTCATATGTTTTTTTCTTCATGGTATGCTTACGTATTTGGCATTTTCAGGTTACAGTTTTCTATTCCTTTATTTACGCCAATTCTTGGCGATAGTCTTCATGAAGTCATTTCGGCGTTGGCAACAGTTTGGTGAGAATTTCAACACGCCATTTAGCCACCGTGGTGGCTCAGGGAATAGAGCGTTCAACCTCAAATGAAGTGAACCGCTTTCAAATTCTAGCGATGACTGGTCGATACGAATTTCGCACCCGGTTCATACTGACCATAGTGCTGACGTAAAATATCCTTAATGGTAGACGGATCACGTGTTAAAGTCCCCTTTCAGTCAGGCTAGCCGTGTCTGTGAAGTCTCAAACCAACATTTAGGAGTTTAAAAAGAAATTCTTATTGTTGATTTATTGAAAAATAACACTGTAAGAAGAAGCAGCAACCCTGCTTTATCTAGTGTTAAATTTAAGTAATTTGGTATACAAATTGAACATCTTACTAATCGTTACAATTTATACAACACTGTAACTGAAACATTTTAATGCTGAAATGAAAGCAACTTTATAGAAAGAAGATTAAAATAGATTTCGAAATTTATTTTCAATAGTGTGGTCAAATTATATTTAGAGATAATATTTATTAAATATTTCTATTGCAGGAAAATCTGAACCACACAACGTATCTTGCTTGAGACTTCTGCAGTACTGGGACACTCATGAAGGAAAATTCAAATCTGTTCAGCTACTTGTAATACGCTTGAAGCAACTTGGCCACTACGATATCGCCAATCAACTATCAGCTTCAGTCTCTCATGAAAAAGTTTATGAAGTTCATGAATTGTTTCTGGATGATCCTTTCAAGAATAAAATTCATAAAAACTCCCCTCGTTTGACTGGCAATTCATTCGAAGAAGATCATGAACCGGCAGCTCGAAAATCAAGCAGCTCATGGACTAGCTTTCGGATGTTTGAGATCGCCCTTCTAACAGTTCTTTTTTCGATCTTTCTGGCTTTTACAATTTTGGCTCTCATCAGATTTTGTTCTCCTTATTCCTTTGCCAGAATGAGAGCCACATTTTATAAAAACATGTTTGATTCTAGGCCGGCTAAAGAAGAATTATTTTTCATCTTGTAATTAATTACTTGCTTTTGTCAAATAGGTTGAAACTTTCATTTATTTCACGAATTAAAATTATTGCAGCAAATGGGATCTACTATCTTGTAAATAATGGGGCGTCTTTGTTTCAGGTTTTGTGTTTCGTTTCGAAGGTTTGAGTTTTATATTAGGTTAAATTGTGTTATCCAAAAAAAATCGTTTTCATCAAGGGTATATATATATATGCATGTGTGTGTGTGCAATATCTATGTAATATCCATCTACCTATCTCAGGGGTTTTCAATCTACATGTGGACGGGGGCCGAAAGTCGATCTTCGAGAAAATTTCTGATACGCACATGCTAAATTATATTCACAAAATACAAAAGAAAACAAAATAAAAAAGAGCAAAATACACGATTATTTTTCTATTTGAATAAATGTTTTCCTCGATGCAAAACATGAGAAATAAATTTTTGCACCGTTGGTGTGTTAAATTTTTCAGGGACGAAGAAATTAGGTTTTTTTAACCGAATGAAAAGTATTTCAAACCCACCTAGATTATATACGAACATTGTCTTCAAAAAAACGACAACTAATATATTTTACTTCACAGGCCACAAAAAAAGGCTTCGCGGGCCGCCAGTTGGTAACCACTGATCTCTCTCTCTCTCTCTCTCTCTTTCTCTNTATATATATATATATATATATATATATATATATGTATATATATATATCCCTAAAATCTGAGGACATAACTGAGTGAGGGGAAAAAGGCTATATCTATTTGTGGTTAATGTATTTTCATTTTTATAATTTTTAGAAATTAGTTAAATATTTTTAATGATTCAAGGATACGTACCATAAAATATTTTTAACAAATCTGTAGAATATCTGCATTACAATAATTTTTCATTACATTTTCCACAGCTTTCTGTAAAATCTTAAGTCAGTTTAGTTTTCTCTGTATTTTAATGAATTGCTTATTTCATAATCTCTTGGTATCCAAAAAAAGTTTAGTCTCCATATATCCTAACTTACATATCCTAACTTATCGTAAAGTACATTGAAAATTATCTAAAAATTTAGCAAACATAATTTTTTTCCTTAAAAGCTATAAATCATCTTAATATTAATATTTAATGTCTGTTTGAGAAGTGTTAAGTACTTAATACTCGTTAAAATTAATAAACCAACAACTTCCAGATCCTAAATAAATTTTCTTTATTTTTCATACTTGATCTTAGTTTCGCGTCTGGCGTTCACATCTAGGAAAAGCAGGTTACTAAAGTGAATGAAACCTATTCATCACTTTTGCTGTTTTGACAAGTAAGGAAATTCCACCTGTTTGTGATTACGGTGAAAAATTGTTTCAGCTGAGAATTTCTCAGTTTCCCTGTAAGTTTCTCTAGAAATTGAAAGGGTTTATCTGTTTTAATATAATCCTTTGCATTTCTTGAGTAGTAAATAAATTATGTAAATATTTAATTTCAGTCAATGATATATCTTAAATAGAGTTGTAATAGAAGTGTGATAAGAAAATTAAGGAGCAAATGAATGAATATTCACTTGAAGCTTTTAAGAATGGCAGAAAATCCGTTCTTTATTTAGAAATATGTAGTTCAGAAAGGTAGATGCATAAATGCAATTAGAATTCCTTTATTTTGGAAAAACGATTCAATTATTCAAACTTGAGTTCTTTTAAGCTATTTGTTATTTAAGGACAGGGAAGAAAAGCTTGCTATTCATTATTTTGATCCAATATTGTCTATTTTGCGATTAAAATTTTACAATTTATTTTCCATTTGGAATGATATATGTGATAATTTGGATGTATGGTTTTACGATATTCTTTTTTCAAAATTTTTTGTTGTTGTTGTCCACATGTCATTGACGCGTTTCAAAACTTATTATTTAATTTACTGCAGCTTATGAAAAAACAAGTAAACACAAAATGGAACTAATTTTAGTCTACGTAATTATTCTTGATTCGTTAAAATATGTTAATGGAATTGAAATTATTTTTATATTAGTCTTGAGTAAATTATCTCAGAATTTTTTTAACAGTTAATGTTAAACTTAAGGAATACACAGATCATGATTTCTCCCATATGAACGGGAGATTATTTTGAATATTCAAAGGAGTGAAGAAAATGTTAAAAAGTTTTAATTTCTGATAGAATGACGGTTTGCACATTAAGATACATAAACAATTAAAGCAAATGTTTCAGACCATATAATATTTCGGAGGAATTTTCACACTGTAAAAAATTCCGAAATTTCTAGCACCCTGAGTGCAGCATTCCATAAAATTGATTTTACCTTAACATGGATTATACCGTTTAGTAAAATTTTATGCCATAGTTTTTTTCATAAATTCTATGACATATCGTAAAAATTACAGTATGTCAGATTTTTTGTTCCTGTAACTTTTTACAGTAAAAATAAATTTTACGGTAAAAAGTACTGGCACTCTGTGTTCAGTACTTTTTACAATAATTTCAACCATAATTTTTTGATCCATGACTGAGCTCCAATAGGGATTTTAGGGCTCTGGCTAGCCGGAGCGTGGCCAACATTATAAAGCAAAAAAAGAAATATAAAAAAAAGGTAAAAACGTTTTTTTAGCACAAAATGTAGTAAAATTGCTTAGAATAGATAAAACTGTTCAAGGTGGCTGAAAAAAAGTAATGAGTACCTGAAGGTAAGTTTAAAAATAATTGCTCCATAATATTAAAAAAAGGAATAATTTTGTATGTAACATATAATAGCAGATACATTTTGCAAGCTTAGGGTAATTGTGCAAAATTATAGGAAGCATGTAAACGATAAAATTGCCATCATTGGATGAAATTGATTGATAATTGTTTGGTTTATTTGATTGATTGACAAGAAGTGGAACAGAGCTGAGAGGGCTTAGAGAATAAAGCAATCGACTTATTCTAGTACTTTTCTGTTTTTCTTGATTTTAATAAACATTTACCCGTATGCCCTAAATTGGGGCAGGTCGGGGTAAATATTCCATAAAGCAATCGACTACCAATTTGTGTCCAAGGTTCGAATCCTGACTATGACCGAATGATTTGTGCACTGCTACCGGTTTGCAGCGACCAAATTGCTGACGAAAAATATTATCAGAGGTTGAATGATTGTAGAATAGAATCCCTCACTTGTCAAGGTAATCATGGGAGGTTTCCTTCGTGTTCAGCTTTATCTTGCAGAGAATAAGTTCATCTCATTAAAATTATTACCAGAAAAGCGAGTTTGTCTCAATGCTTTGTTTAAAAGCTTCCGTGTCTGCTGGTTCGTGATTAAAATTACAGGATACGTAGATGATTCAAAATGAAATGGCTGTTTAACTGCCATAATAACTGGCAAATCATATGTAATAGATGAAAATTTTCCCAAATCAAGAATTCAGAAATTTCTATAATTAGAATTTCAGTATTCTGCTATGTGTATCAGAATTTAAAGCAACAAGACACTATTCACTCATCATTTTGTTTGGTTAGTCTGAACGTCCCATTAGATGTACTCAAATATTGGCAACGATCTATGACCATTTCTATGATCATTTTCATTGATGATCTCTAGGCAATTCTGGCAAATACACTATCACAATTTAGTCAGTTAACTGATGGTAATCGGGAAGTAATCAGGTTCCGTATCTCACTTCCCAATCACCCAATCATGCTTGGATAAGCTAAGAAACCATCTGGCTAAAAAACCACTGCAGACGCTAGAATGGAGTCCAAGTCACTAATACATATTTAGAGATAGTGCAACTCAATCAGCTTCAAGCCTTTTACATGGGGAATTGAACCTCTGAACAAGCAGTTTCACCAGTAGAAATATGTCAAAACACACTTCAAGATCTGGATGCTAACATTCCTACTGAAAGCACATATAAAACTATCAACCCACTTGAATATGCAGACATCGAAAACAACTTGACTGTAAGGGACTTAAGGAAAAAAGACAGTATCGAGGCAGAGCTGAGGGCAACTGCGTTGCAAATGATCTGCGAAAAATACCCGGAAAGCGACAGGATACATGTATATACCGATGGATCTCAGATACAAGACAGATCTGGAGCTGGTGTTTTTATAAACTATTTTCCCAAAGCCCGCCCGTGGGACATTATATGACCAATTTTGATGCAGAAATCCAAGCAACTTATCTAGCATTACAGAACCTAAAAACAAGATCTAATGAGTTCCTAAGGGTGGTTCTATTGGTAGACTCCATTTCTGCAATTCAAGCAATCACCGAAAACCAATGTTTTAAAACTAAGCTGTAAAACGAAATTCAGCTCGATATAAGCCTCCTCAAGGAAATGAATAAAACAATAGTTATACAGTGGATCCCTTCAAAAATTGGTATCGAAGGCAATGAGAGCGCAAATTATCTTGCAAAAAAACGGAACCTCAAGAAATAACAACCGTCACACCTGATACTCTTAAAAAATAAGTCATGAAAAAACTCAACGAAATAAATAATTGTGGTTTGACTATAAAATCAAAAGGCAAAATATGGGAAAATATTCAAGACAATTGGAAATTTCTCTGTTACTAACCCCGTAAAGAAGCAGTAGGTAACCCATTTTAGGCTTAAAACAGGCCACGATTGCTTGTCAGAACATTTATATGACATAAAAATTCTTCTCAGCAAAGCATGCCCTATTTGTGACACAGGTCTATTAAACTCTGATCACCGCTTGTTGTGCAAGGGATTAGATAGGAACTCCCAGAAAAGTGGGAATGTCACTAAATTGTATTGGGAACCAAGAACTCTCATGAATTGTCAATAACTTTGCCTTTTTCAAGTTAATGTTTTAAATTTTATATTGTTGAAATGTTTATTGATTCAGAGTTTATTGTTCTTTTTTGTTCACTTTACCTAAATTGTTGAATTGTTTCTTTGTTATTTTTCTGCCCCTTTGTGATGCAGTGAGCTGTCAAATTTTCTGGATTGAATTCCTAATAAGGCCATATGAAACACACACACCTCTGAACAAGCTATCTTTGGAAAAGACTAAACTCACCCACCAACTGGGTGACCTTA